CCGTTTTAGACAAAAATCGATTTGAAAATTTTTCGCTTTTTCTTCATGAAAACTAAATTAATATTTTTGTACATGTAGGTTTTGAACTATCAACAGAACTTTAACCTACGTTTTTCATTGTCAAACTCTTGTCATTTCGTGAAGTTTCTCTTTTAGTTTTTAATTTGTGGCATTCAAACAAAATAATTGCAATTCGATAAAAATGGTTTTTACTAATGAGAAATATGCTGATATACATTGAGTTTATTGCGAAATGAGGTGTAACGCCCCAGGAATAAAGTAGATACACTTTTCAGATTAAGAGAAACGAAAAGTTTTTCCAAAAAATAATAAAACAGAACGACATAATGATGTAACAGCACATCAAGATGTCACGTTAATGGAAGTTTAGGAAAATGTAGAAATTAGCGTTCGAAGACTATTTGTCATGTATCCTACAATGTCAAAATCTTTCGCAAAAACTGATGCCTATAAACGGTACTAAAAATTTGCAATTAATGGAATCGATTCAACTCTGGAGGATAAATAATTATTTTCATGAAAAGGCCTACATTTTTATTTTCATGAAAAAGTGTTTTAAGTTGAATAGGTGTCCTATAGTAAATGGGATGTGCTGATTATGAATCTGTACTTAGTTTTTTTCCAGTACGTCAGGTTTTCAAGAAAAGTGTATTTAAAATTTTTTATAGAAACTGCCCAAAATACTAAGAAAATATTTACTGAAACCTTATTTAATATAAAATTACACTGCAAAATTGAGTTGTTTAAAAAAAGAATACGTTAGACAATGTTTCTTGTTTTTTATAAAACCGTTCTCTATTGCCATGAAAACTGCATTTTGTGGTCTTCTTTTTATGGATTTTTGTGATCGAGTCTCTCTTCAAGGTCTAACAGTAATCAGCCATCATTCTTATATTCCATCTTCCTTGGTAACGTCTTTCCATCTCCTTTATATCTCGATGGATCCTTTCTCCAGCTCCTCGCTGACAGCTCCAAAATTTTCGGGAAAATAGTCAACATGGTAATCCAACAAATAAAGTTTGAAGACCATATTACATCCCAGTTTTTTATAATTTTCGACCATAATAGCTACAATTTTTTTATAGTCTGGAGAATTGTTTTTTTCACGGAAACCATCTATAAGTTCTACGAAAGAACTTTATGTTTCATATTCATCCGGGTCATTGTATTCTGGAATAATGTGTCCGATTATAGGTTCGAATTTGAGGGCCTACAAAAATTCCTTCTTTAAGTTTAGCTTCAGAAAGTGTTAGAAATTTGTCGCACAGATATTTAAAGCAGTCACATTGTTTATCTAAAGATTTGACAAACTGCTTCATTAATTCTAACTTTAGGTGAAGAGGGGGCGAAAAACTAATTTGAGGTCAACTAATGTATTACGTTGCACATTTTTTTGTCCCGGTACTAGTCTTTCTCTGAGTGGCCACTCTTTCTTAACGTAATGTAAATTTCGTGCTCGAATGTCCCAATCGTATAAAAAAACATGGATACTATGTGAATCCAGACTGCTGACCCAAAATCATGGATATTATTTTGAGATCTCCTCAGAATTGCCAACACTGTTCGCTATACTTTCTTTCAGATTCAAGGAGTGAGCAACAGGCACTGAGGCACAAGTATTACCGTTGTGCAACAATCACACTCTTCCGAGTTTTCTTAGAAGAATCATTAAATAACCGCCATGATGTGGAATCGTAATTGTCAACTCTCAGTTTCATGACTACTTGAGAAATATTATGACAATACACCCGTGAGCCCTCTTGAGAAAAATATTCCGCGAACATTTTTTTACGATGCCTATACCACGAAAATGTGGTAACGGGAGCCAATAGATTTTTATCTTTCAGTCGTGATCCTAAGATTTGTGTAGCATCCTTCGATAGGTCCAAGTCTCTCACTAAGTCATTTAGTTCAGCTTTTGAGGTTGGTCTATCTCAGGATTTTATTCATCTTCATCGGTTTTTTCGTCTGAACTTTTATCTGATCGTTGCTGTTGGACAGGCGAAGAAAAGTTTGAGGAATAGGGATTCCTAGTTCATGTGATACAGGTCGTTTAGCAGAAGGTAAATTATAATATTGAATTTTGTGTGAATTTTTTGAATTGAAACCCTTGATATATCAGCAACAAAAGTAGCAGTCGTCATGGTTTTTTGATTTCCTCCATACCATAGAAATGCCGAAGGTTAAAGAGTTGCGTGTACCTTTTGTCCATTTTCTCAGTAGGTTGACACACTGAAAGCACACTTTGTGTGGAGCACAAGGTTTGTCCTGATAACTAAACTTTACAAGCACCAAATAGGTACTTGTTTGCGCTAGTATATAATATCTCACAAGGTTTTTTTTCAATTTTGTGAAAATTTTGACGTGATAGGCAGTGTTGCCATTCAAAAATATAATAATGTATTAAAATATTTTCTATTGATCTATAAAGTATTTTAAAGATATAATTTTAATGCAATTTACGAAATATCAATAAGGTATTTGTTTGCGCTAGTACAAAATATCCTACTAGATTTTTTTAATTTTGTGAAAAATTTTGACGTGATGGGCTTAAACCGAATTCGTATTCAGAATCAGCGTACCCGTATTAGCTAAGGACACATGTCAAACTCAAAACACCAAAAATCATGTCGGCCTGTGAATCGTACCAGTTTTCATTTTTCTAAATAGATGAATTTAGTTAAATTGTCTTAAAATTATCTAAGGAATCTGCAGCTTTCGTTTGTCAGGAGACTTTCTGGACACCCTGTATATGACTAACACCTAGCTGCCAAGGATAACAAACTTTAATTTAGTAGCAAGAAAAAAGATACACCAGAACATAAAAAATGGTAATAAATATCAAAAACAACCTAGATTGGAATCGGGTAAAAATAAACACTCATATAATTGAAGATATAGGTATCAAAATAGGTAATACAAATATTTTTTCTATTTATAGAAGAAGGAGGAGATTTCACTTTCGCACAAACTTCGCACTGGATGAAGAATCAGCCCAAATCCAAGACATAACAATTCAACTGTCGACTTATTCATCACCAGGGAAATAATTAAGGCAGCCATAGGACGCATTACGAAACCAGCTCTTGCTACAAACCAGTGACAGAAATTATGGCATCAACAGTAGACGTACCTACAATTAAACCAGTATAAAGATAGAAATGGAAAGAAGAAAACTAACCAAACTACAGAAGATAGCTAAATGAAATAAAAACAAAAAGATAATTTGAATTCAAAGAAGAAATGAAAATGAAGTAGAAGAAATCGCGAGAAAAATCTAATAACCTATGGAAAACAGCATCTCAAAACAATTCCCGAATAACAAAGGACTAATAATTCCTAACGAGATGAAAGAAATCATAAAAGAAAGAAACACAGCCAGAAAAGCGTACCAAAGAACAAGAAAAGTAGAATTCAAAATATGAACTATCAGAAGAAATAAGAACAACACATGCACGGAACAAAAGCAGTTACAACGGCATCGGAAATCAGGTACACCTTATGAAAAAGCTCTAGAAGAGGTGCTAAAGATAAGAAAAAACTTATGAAATAAAAACTTCTTGTGAAAAATGGTATAAATTTCGTAAAAATTTTAAAAATATCCAAAATGGATTTATAAATTTTCAAACAGAACGTTTGCGATTTTTTTTTTTAGAAAGCTATGATTTTTTATTGTTTCGTCTTATGACTTACAAATTGTCATATATTAGCAACAAATAAACCGATCTGGTTTAATCAAATTTCATTTTGTTGAGTATCAAAAGGGCTTCAATCTCATCATCATCATCAACTAGCCTCTAACGTCCACTGCTAAAGATAGGCCTCTCGCATTTTTTCCCACTTAGTCCGATTTTGCGCCATCTAAATCCATATTGTAGTCACTCTTTTTATGTCATCTGTTCATCTCGTTGGGGATCGACCTCTATTTCTGTAAGCTTGTATTCGGGGTCTCAATTCCAAAATTCTTTTTGTCCACGGGTCATCAACTGATCTTGCTACATGACCTGCCCGATTCCACTTTAGTGTTGTTATCCTTTCAATAACGTCTGCTACTCCTGATCTTTTGCGTATAGTAGCATTGGGTATTCTATTACGTAGAGAAATCCCTAACATAATTCTCCCCATTGCTCTTTCTGCAACTTGTAGTTTACTTACTGTAGTTCTTGCGAGCGTTAGGATTTCTGCGCCGTAGGTCATCACTGGCAAAATACATTGATTAAATACTTTTCTTTTCAGACACATTGGAATCTTAGACCTAAAAATAACCTTTATCCTTCCAAATGCAGCCCAAGCGAGGTTTATTCTTCTTTTCAGCTCGATTGTTTGGTTGTCTCGACTTATTCTGATCTCATGCCCCAAGTATTTATAGGAATCAACTTGCTCAATATCTTTGTCTTCTACTGAGATGTTTTTGTTGTGGACTAAATTTGCTTCAATCTAATACATTAAAAATTAATATTACAGCTTTAAAAAAAATGTGACTATTTTGATAAAGTACTGTTATTCATCTTTGAGTGCTAATTCTGTAATAACTGTTAATCGAAATTAAACTAATAAACGCTTATATTAAATCTTATCCAATTTAGTTTTATAATTTTATCGTTGTATTTTATAAAATCAAGTGCCTTAGTCTTAAAAATAATCTGAAATCGCCCTTTTAAATCCACTCTTTTCAGCGTACCTTTACACATTGAAATAATATGACGTCATTAGTACTGTGATCCAATGATATGTAAATAATTTTATTGTAATGTTAGTGGTATTCTAATAAAACCTGATTATTTCTACCTTGTCTTGCTAAATTTAAAATGTGACAAATGTGAGATGTGTTTTTACATTTGTTTTTATTTAAGTATATTATTACACCAAAAATATTTTTGCATTTTTAAAAGTAAAACTAAATTAATTTCGATATTAATAATAAAAGTAACTTATTTTTTAAAAAGCATACTTTTATAACTTTTATTTATATATCTTACCTCATTTTCATTAAGCGATTTTAGAATTTCGTAAAAGTTTTTAAATCTTCTTCGGTATTCGGATTTTAAATTTTTAAATGATCCTTCTTCTATTTGAATATTATCTTTTAACCAATCAAAATCTAAAACAAATTATGAATTAAGTGCCGATTAAAATACTTCTTGGTAAAAATAATTTTCAGCTGTTTTTCATCAAGAAACACAAAACATTGTTACATATATAGTGAATTTAAGTCCCATCTCTAAAAAAATTTGGCTGTGAATTTGTTACTAATTTAACACTAATTAAATTAATACATCCAATAATAAAATTTGATATACACAAAGAGAAAATTCATTAATATAATTCAAGTATATGCACCTACAACAGAAGGAGCAAACAAAGAGATAGAAGAACTATACCATAGCATTAATCAAGTCCTGAAAAGATTAAAAAAGCAAGACCTAACAATTGTTATTGAGGAGAGGAGTCCGCCAGGGTTGCGTGCTGTCCCCACTACTTTTCAATGTCTACAGTGAAGCGGTATTTCAAGAAGCGCTCTCAGACTCAATAGAAGGTATATCTATCAATGGAGAAGTTTTGAATAACTTACGTTTTGCAGACGATACAGTAATAATTACGGATAACAACAATGATTTACAGAACGTAATGCAACGCCTTAATGAACGCTGTCATGAGTACGGACTGAAGATAAATTTAAAGAAAACTAAATGCATGATCATGACTAAATCTGCAGATGCAAATATCCAATTGACTATTGAAGATACTGCAATTGAGAGTATTAATAACTATAAATACTTAGGAACATGGATAACATCAGATGTAGACCAAACCAAAGAAATTAAGACACGTATTGAAATAGCACGTGCATCATTTATTAAACTTAAAAAGTTTCTTTGTTGTCGGGATATAAGGTTAGAACTACGCCTGAGAATGCTTCGATGTTACGTGTTCTCTACTCTTCTTTATGGTCTGGAAGCTTGGACACTCAAACAAGTTCATCTGAATAAGTTGGCCGCCTTTGAATTTTGGTGTTACAGAAGAATCCTACGAATATCATGGACTCAAAGAATGTCTAACATGGAAGTAACTAGAAGGATAGGAAATGAGGCGGAAGTAATATTAACTATTAAAAGACGAAAACTTGAGTACTTGGGACATGTGATGAGAGGGCAAAAATACGCATTATTACAACTTATTATGCAGGGCAAAATCCGAGGAAAGCGAAATGTGGGAAGACGAAGAATATCCTGGCTTAAGAACTTGAGGGAATGGTTTGAATGCAGTAGTGCAGAACTTTTTAGAGCGGCAGTCAACAGAGTCCGCATAGCCATGATGATTTCCAACCTTCGATAGAAGATGGAACTTAAAGAAGAAGAACAATTGTTATGGGTGATTTCAACGCCAAAGTTGGAGCCAGCAAAACATCATCTGCAGTTCAACCATTTGGTCTAGGAAACCGGAATGATCGGGGAGATACATTGGAGATTTTTGCGGAGGCAAATAAATTAGTAATAATGAACACCTGGTTTAAGCTACACCCAAGGAAACTGTACACCTGGAAATCTCCACAGGATACTGTCGGAAAGATTGTAAGAAATCAGATTGATTACATTTTAGTAAATAAGAGGTATAGGAACAGCTGCACATCTGTCAAAACATACCCGGGGGCAGACATAAATTCGGATCATGTACCAGTTGTAGGTAATTTCAAAGTCAGAATGAAGAAGGTTACAAGTAAGTCGATGAAGAAGTATGATTTTAGAAAACTGAAAGATCCCAATGTTCGACTGAAGGTGAGTGGAAACAAGGGTGCTAACATGCAAAAATGCAGAAACTATAGAGGAAAGTCTGACCATCATTCAAGAAACAGTAAGAGAAATAAAAGAACAACACCTGAAGAAAGACACAGAGAAACGCAAATCGTAGATGACCGATGAAATATTTGAGCTTATGGATCAGAGAAAAAAAACAAAGAAAATCTCCAAGAATATAAGAGAATACATACCATCGTCAGAAGAAAAATAAGAGAAGCCAAAGAGAAACAAAAAACAGAACAATAGGTCCCAAAATCCTACCAGAAGAAATAACGGCAGCCGTCAGACAAATGAAGGATGGAAAGACACCGGGACTTGATGAAATTGCTGCAGAACTGCTGAAGCTATTAGATACAGAACAAATAAAAATAATAACTGGTATATTTAATGAAATATACAAGGCAGGAAAAATACCAGTAGAGTGGCTTAAATCGGAGTTCGTATCATTGCCCAAAAAAACAGGAGCAAAAGTTTGTGAAAATTATAGGACAATAAGCCTAATGAGCCATTTGCTGAAGCTGTTTTTAAAGGTCATCCACAAAAGAATTTACCGGAAATGCGAGGAACAAATTGCGTCCAATTAATTTGGATTTGTGAACGCCATTGGTACGAGGGAAGCTTTATTTAGCGTGCACATCTTGTTTCAGAAATGTAGAGATGTCAGCTGTAATGTTTTTGCATGCCTGACTGACTACAAGAAGGCTTTCGATAGAGTTAGGCATGAACAAATGATGGAAGTGCTAAAGAGGACAGAGATTGATGGAAGAGACTTAAAAATTATAGCTAATCTGCATTGCAATCAATCAGCGGTACTCCGAATAGATGGAGAATATACAAAACAGGTCAAAATCTTAAGAGGAGTGAGACAGGGGTGCATAATTTCACCACAGATATTCAATCTGTACTTGGAGCACATTTTTGAAGAGGCCCTAAAAGATATTGATGAAGGCATCTCAATAAATGGAGTCAAGCTAAATAACCTGCGGTATGCAGATGATACAATAGTGTTTTCCAATACCATAGAAGGGCTGCAAAACTTAATGAAAAAAATAACGGAAACAAGTAGAACCTATGGACTGGATATAAACACCAGCAAAACATATAATTATTATCAGCAAGCAAAACATAACTGGAGCAAATCTGTATGTGAACTAAATGAGAATTGAACGTGTCTCACAATACAATTACTTGGGAACTATAATCAATGAGTCGTGGGACAATACCCAAGAGATTAAATGTCGCATCGGAAAGGCCAAAAGTGCATTCTTGGCTATGAGCTCTGTGTTGTGTTCAAAAGCCATGACCTCACCCTGAAAACAAAAATAAGGCTCCTTAAATGTTACGTGTACTGAGTGCTTCTGTATTGAGTAGAAACGTGGACATTGAAGACGGAAACTCTATCAAAACTTCAGGCGTTTGAATTATGGTTATACAGAAGAATCCTGAAGATTGCGGAGGATGAACACAACCGCGGATTTGGTCAACATTGTGAAGAACCGTAAGCTCTTGGGACATATAATGAGAAATCAAGGCAGATACGAGCTACTCCAATGTATTTTGCAGGGTTAAATTGAAGGAAAAAGAGCCCCAGGACGAAGAAGAATATCCTGGCTTGCTAACCTGAGAGCATGGTATAGAAAGACCTCAACACAGCTATGATCGCCAACGTTCGGAACGGACAGGCATCCTAAGAAGAAGAAGAAAGAGAAAAGCTAGGATTTGTTCGGAAAATATTCCCATGAGATGTTTTGAAAAGGACCCATAGCTTAGATACTGATGCTTTCTATATCACAGAATATATTTGACCCTGTCGGTTTTACCTGTCCAGTATATACATTCCAAACTGTTATTACAGAAACATTGGGAGAAGCGACGGGGATAGGATGCTCCAGTCGAGAATGATAGAGCTGAGGAATTTTGTAAATACTCATCTTCCTGAACTGTCGAGAATTAAGATTTCACGCTGGATTTAGGCTGGACCCATGAAAGCTGATAAGTGGAGCTTAAACGTATTTTCAGATGCAAGTAAGAAAGTTTATGCAGCTGTAGTATTTTTAAGAGTCGTTCGAAATAATGATGTCTCAATTTTCCTTCTAGCAGCTATGAGTGGTGTGGCCTCTTTAAAGAAGATTTATATACCTAGATTGGAACTGTTGGCAGCCACTATTAGTGCTAGACTTATCAGTCAGTAAAAATACAATTTTTTCAAAGTGGTAAGTCGTATTTTTGGAGTGATTTTACTATTGTTCGTTCTTGGACTTAACGTAAGGTCTGTGTTTGTTTTTAATAGAGTTCATGAGACTAGAAATTGAACCAATCTTAAGCGTTAGAAATATCTACCTGGTTCTCTCATTACTGCCGATCTTTCATCAAAAGGATCGGCAAGTGTTGTACAGAAAAGATAATGATTTACCCAAATAAAAAGTAGAAGTTGGTGAAAAAGAAGTCTGATAGCAAAAGAAGAATGATAGCTTGGGCGCGTCATCATGCAAGTAAGAGGAGAGGGAAAAAAAGACTTGGAAAGAAAGAAGAAATCTTGGTAGAGGAATATAAGAGATTGGACTAACCTCAGTGTTAAACAGATATTTTACATTGCAAAAGATTGGAAAGGGTTTCAAGAAGTGATTGCCTTCTTCTTTAGGTGGCGTTTCTTAGCGAAGGTTGGCGATGACCTCTGCAAAGTCTTCCCTATTTTGGGCTTTCCTTATTAAACTTTCAAAATCTAATCCTGTCCAATCTTTGATGTTGCACAGCCAGGTCATTTGTCGTCTACCCGGGCCGCGTCTGCCTTCTATTTTTCCTTCTATAATAAGCTGAAGGAAGTTATACCGGGGAAGTTATTGCCAACCTTCGATAAAAAATGACATAATAAAAAGAAGAAGCTTGGGTGCTACGATTTTGTTATTATAAAATAAATGCAAACTAATAACGTACAGGTGAATTGGCCGCTAAGGAAATCGATAAAGACAAAATATTTGTATTGAAGCTAGTACAAAACGAAGCGTTCGGTTTAGATACGTAAGAAATTTCCTCGCTAAACAAGTTTTTTGCTGAATTTGGAACTATACGTTTAAAAACTCGTGTTACTAAAAGCCCTGACATGGAAGTTTTTAGTCTGCCTATCTTACTTTCGTGTGAACATTTTTTAGTTCATAAGTTAATTTTGAGTCTACTCAAAAGCTCGTGTCATATAGGCACACAAGGATTACTTAGTTTGCTCTGCGAAAAATATTGGACTTAAGGGGGTAGACGGATTGTGTGGTCTATTTTAAATAATGTGGTGTGTGCAAGAGATAAGAAGGAAAATCGTTCGAAGTACAAACAACAACAAACAAAAATTAATGGACACGTCTAAGAAAGCCTTACATCCGACGATAGCTGTTGATGGTGATGATTATGGAACGATGTAACAGAGCTCTGCATTTCATAGAAAAGAAACTTTTTGTAGATGAAGAGCCTTTTATGCTCAATGGTCACGTAAACCGCCAGACATATTGATAATATGCAGACAGCAAGTGAAAATCCACAATGGACGGAAAAATATAGAACGCAATATCCTGAGAAGGAAAATGTTTGGACCGGCCTTATAAATTTTCCTTATAAACCTAAACAAAACTGCTTAAACCTTAACTGCATAACCTTAACTGCTTCTTGGGATGGTGCTTTCTCACACTACGGCGTTGATTTACAAAATTAGTTAAATAACGTTTGCCCAGGTAGGTGGAAATGTAGAAGGGGATCTGTCTAATGGCTACCAAGGTCTCCAGATTTTACACTATTAGATTATTTAATGGAAAATTGTAAAGAGCAAAGTGTATTGGCAACATACGCTGCGCCAATTTAAAATAACCTCCAGAAAATTTAACATGTTAATTTTCCCAAAAAGTTTGTGACTTTAACAGGATGGTGCCTCCCCACACTACGGTGTTGATTTACAAAATTACTTAAATAACGTTTGCCCATGTAGGTGAATGCACTTATAACAGATATAAACCAAAAAATGCAGAGATGGACACAATATATAGCACAACTTTTTGAAGACAAAGAAAGAACAGAAGCACCAAAAGAATTTAAGGATGATACTGGGCCTGATATTATACGAGAAGAAATTGAATATGCAATGAAACAAGCTAAAGGATATCCAGATTCGCCGTGGGGTCCGCCAAGGGTGTATTTTATCACCCTTGTTATTCAATTTATACAGTGAAGCCATCTCAGAATTATCGCTTGCCGAGATCAGTGAGGGCCTTATAATAAACGGTGAGCCACTTAATACCATAGGATATGCTGACGACACCGTCCTTCTGGCAGGAACACTAGAAGAACTGCAACACCTTGCTGAACAACTAAATATATATTGCAACGATTATGGACTAAAAATCAATTTGAAGAAAACCAAGTTCATGGTATTTACAAAAGCACAAAACATCAAAGTTAAGCTAGTACTAGATAATACAGAAATTGAACAAATATCTTCGTACAAATACCTTGGAGCATGGATCACAGAAGATACTGATCAGAGAAAAGAAATAAGATGCCGCATTAAAATTGCGCGGTCAACTTTTAATAGAATGAGAAAACTTTTTTGTAATCGCGATATCAATATATCGCTCCGGATAAGAATGCTTCGATGTTATATTTTCTCTACCCTTTTGTATGGATTTGAAGCTTGGATACTTAAAAAATCCAACATTAAAACCTAGAAGCATTCGAAATGTGGTGTTACCGACGTATTTTGAAAATATCATGTATGGATCGCAAAACAAACGAACAAAATCTCGAACAACTAGGAAAACAATGCGAAATTTTAAATTCCATAAAAATCAGAAAATTGGAATATTTGGGGCACATCATGAGAGGTGAAAAGTACGAACTACTAGGGAATATATTGCAGGGAAAAATCAAAGGTAGTAGAAGCGTAGGAAGACGTAAAATCTCGTGGCTACGCAATCTCCGACCAACCAATAAAATTATAATTGCCAAAATGATTTCCAATCTCCGATAGGAATGGAACTTAAAGAAGAAGAATGTAGGTGGATAAGTAAAAGGGGATCTGTCTAATGGCCACCACGGTCTCTAGATTTTACACTATTAGGTTATTTTATGTGAAATTTTAAATGGCACAGTGTATTTACAACACACGCTGCGCCAATTTAAAATAACCGCCAGAAAATTTAACATGTTAATTTTCCCAAAAAAAAGTGCATTGTTATACCAGGAAATCTCAGAGAATAGAACAAATGATGTAGTGTAAATGATTAGTCATCACACTATCTAGTTACAAAAAGCTCGAAACAGAAGTGGAAGATCAAGTGAATAGAGCCGCAGGTTGCCTCAACGAAACACTATGGAGAAATAAAAATATCAGGAAACAAATGAAAGATAGAATTTCCAACGACCTGGCACAGAGAGAGTAAAAAGAATGCTTGAAACAGCATAGATGAAAACCCTTTTAAAAATCGATGGTAAGACAATATAAGATAGAGCTAAAAATCGGAGAACTGGGTAAGAAATAAAAGAGTAGCATGGTGGTCATATGAACTAAATGGCAACAGTACAGACGGTTTCTCAATAGGAAGACGATCAGTTAGATGACCACGAGTCATGTCTACACAAAAATAAAAAGAAGAATATTATTAGAAATCAATCTTTTTTTCTGTATCAAATAAACATTTTATTGAATATACGAAAAAAACGTTTCGATTTATTGCTTGGAATTTCCGCGAAATATAAAATTCTGCATTTTTTCTCCGTGGTAGTTATATTAAAAAGTGGCTTAAAGGTGTACAGATTATTTTTTATTTAACTTTTTATTCTAAGGTATAAAAAGATAAATTAACTTACTATGTTTCTTTTTCCTATAGAGATAAAGTTCGTCTACTGTAACGTTTACAGGAAATGCTGGCTTCCAACCCGTCCTAGAGTCTCCTTCAGGAGCATGTTTTACACTAGAACAAAAATAAGTATTGGTTAATATTTTAAAAACAAAATGAATTTCCCTTATAACATAAAATTTAAATAGTTGCTCTTATTAACGAATTAATTAAGTTCTGACGTAGAAAGAATATGTTTTTTTCAATTCACTGCCTTAAAAAATAATAAGTAATGTAATTGTTCAAAATTAGGAACGACCATACAATAATAAAGAATCTATTATATATCAAGTTACTTTTACGAGGAGTATTATATTTAACCTTTAAAATATATGGTAAAATGTAAAAGATATTGAGAAAAAACTAGAAATTACCATTGCAGATATACAAACCAGCTTCAAATCAGAAAAATCACAAAATATCATATTTTCACAATAACCTAAATTTTAAAAGAAGGTAATTTAAATTTGTTCTAGATTTGGAAAAAAGTTATTTGGAGTACTGCTAGACAATATTAATAATATCAAATAAACAAGTAGTTTAACTATAGTTTATAATTCATTACAATACTTTCAATATTTACAACATTTAATTTACAATAAATTTACTATCGTATCTTGTGCGAAAGGTCTTACTTCGTTCCAATGTATTCCTCGTTTTTGAGCCTAACTGCCTCTTACTTATAATCATTTATATTCGTTTCCTATCTCAATTTGCTATTTCCATGCTGTTTCGCATTATATCCGTTATTGTAAATATTTCGTAAAATTCTAATTTTGGTAGCAACAATTTTTCTTTTATTGTTGTTTGATAATATGCAAGACTCACTTTCATAAATAATATGAAGTTCTTTCTGGCATATTTGAGTTTTTAGTTTCGTAGTTATCTTTTTCTTATCAAAGTACGTTGTTCTTAATGCATTGAATAATTTTACAATTTTCTAATGTTTTTGTTTATTAATTAAGTACTTCGTCTACCTTATCATTTTCTTTTGTAATTGTACCTAGATAATTTTAATTGCTGACCTGTTCTAACGATTTGACTTTCTTCTATGGTTATTTTGTGTTTCTTTTTAATTAATCTCGTTTGTCCTGTATTTGTGTATATACTTAACCGAAGAGATATTGTTTTTTTTTAACATATAGATAGATTTTTGGCTACAGATAGATCTATCCCGTTAAAATAGAGTATCCGTTTTTGATTGTTTTTATTTATTAGAAAACTAAAAAAGTGACTTGAGAACAAAGTATATATGGATGCTAAAAACCTCCAAAAAGCATGTTCATGAAAAAAAAAGCTAGACCAAGAACTTTAGAGAAGCTTACTGAAGGTGGCCAAAACCCGTCTTAAGTTGTAGTGCTATTGGAAGGATGGTTTTCTTTTGTGGAAGCTATTTCAGTGTACTATAAAATAATTTGTGATCACTCAGATATTTTCTATTTATTGTATGTCTAAACCTTATCCAGATTTTCTCTTTTGCGAGTTAATTTGTAGCAACTTTATACACTTGATAGTTAATTTCCGACTTTCATTTCAAGTACCTTTCTTATGTTTGACACTTAATTTTATTTCCGTTGTCCACCATTTAAATTTCTTTGTATTATATTGGTAATTTTTGTGGTTTCACATACTTCCCTTGCTGCAGTAAGAATTTTTTTTAATTGTTTCCATTTTTTTCCCATTCCTGTAGCTTGGTTTTTATTCATTATAAACTGATCTTTTAGTTTTTGGTGGTACTTTTTTTTATTTCTATCTCTTCTAACCTGAAAGTTTTAATTTTTTCTTTGGTTATATTCTACCTTTTTCTTGCCATATATGTCTTATTACATCCATTATGATAAAATGATAGTCACTGTCTAATTCTGCCTCTCTTTGTACCTTTAGATCTGGCAAATTTTCTGTGTTGATAATAAAATAGTCTATTATGAGTTTCTTATTTTTTGAAGGTACTTCTCTGATATATTTGTGGATGTCATTGTCCATGAATTTTAAATTAGTTATGCCCAGAATATTTGGAATACATAGGTCTATAATTCTACTTTCACTTTTGTTCTGCAATAATTTCTTGTTAAATGGCTTTTAACGTCGGCATTTCGTTCATAAGATAAATTCTGCGAATTTTTATTGTGATTATATTCTGTTACTCATATTTAATTTTCACGTAATTCCTTATATTTATCTATTGTTTGCCCCTCACATATACCCACAATTTTATGTTTTTTTTTTCACAGATGTACTCCACGTTGTTTTGTTTTCATTTTACCCTATGCTTATGAAATATTGCCGACTACATAATTTCATTGTTTGTTTGCCTTTGAGGTTACACTACCAATTGTCACAAGTGTTTTACTACTAAGATCTGTAGTATCGTAGTATTTAAATATGTTTTGGCTGTGCTAGTATGAAGAAACCCCTGTTATTTAATCTGGATTCTAATATGATAAATAATAATAAATATCTTCTTCTTCTTAGATTGCCATATCCCTACGGAACGTCGGCGACTACCATGCTTATAATATTATTATACTGATCTCGGTCTTGCGCTACGTGTAGCAATTGGTCCGCTGTCAAACCTGTCCACTGCTGCAAATTCCTCAACCAAGAGACTTTCTTCCGGCCTCATCATTTGTTGCCTTCGATTTTACCGTTGAGAATTAGCCGAAGGAACTCATATCTTGGTCCTCTAATTATATGTCCAAGATATTCTAGTTTACGCCTCTTAATAATATTTAATAGAGTTCGTTGATGTTCCATTCTTCGAAGAACTTCTTCGTTTCTGGTTCTGCTAGTCCATGGAATTTTTAGTATCCTTCGATACAACCACATCTCTAACGCCTCGATTTTATTCATGATATCGGCGTTTAAAGTCCAAGTTTCACATCCATACAAAAGTACAGACCACACGTAACATCTTGTAAACTTCTCACGAATTTCCAAATTTAATGAGTTATTGGATAATAGAGGCTTGAATTTTTGAAATGAGTTTATTGCCTGTTCAATTCTACATCAAATTTCGAAGGATGGATCTAGATTTTGGGTAATCCAACATCCAAGGTATTTGAATCTCTGAACTTTCTGCAGCGGTTGTTGGTTTAATTTCAGTTGGGTTGCGCCGATATCCACTTTACTGGTCACCATGTATTTAGTTTTATCGATATTTATCGACAGTCCCCAATTTGTGCATTCCATGTCAACTCTATTGATTAGCTCCTGCAGATCGTCGATGTTTTCAGCTAGAATCACAGTATCGTCGGCGTACCGTATATTGTTAATTATTTCTCCTCCTATGATAATTCCTTTTTGATCTTTTGAAGCTTCCCTAAATAGATTCTCAGAATACACGTTAAAAAGGGTGGGAGATAGTATACAGCCTTGTCTTACGCCTCGTTCAATACTGATTGGCTTTGATTCTCTGTTGTTGGTGGATAATAAATATGGAAAATGCGAATAAATCAAGAGTGTCTTTTTAGAGGTATTATATTTTGAAGTCGAATAAAATAAACATGATTTTTATAAACTGACATAAAAATGACCTTGTTCGAAAGAATATATGACCGCCATGACTGGCTCAGACGTAGTCTTATCTAAAGGTCCAATTTTCGATCACTTTTTCCAATATTTTGGCGTATTGTAGTGTGGCAAATGTGGCACGAGCTGTATGACATGTTGCCTGTCTTATTGAAATGACAGCTCCTGCACATAATGCTTGTTTAATTGTGGAATGAAAAAGGCTCCAAGGTAATCATGGCTCTATGGCGGTCACCATTGACTGTAATTTTCTGGCCAGCATTGTTTTTGAAGATATACGATCCAATGATTCAATCAGAATGTAAATCACACCAAAGAGTCAGTTTTTCTATATGTAATGGCTTCTCAACATACATTTAAAGATTATCTTAACTCCAAACAGGACAGTTTTGTTTTTTATCGTAGTCATTCATCCAAAAGTGGGGTTTATGCTATATAAAATTTGCTTATGTACCTTTAATTTTTGCATGAGTTGGATTTTGTAAGCACATAAAACACGATCTTTACGCAAAATCTTTCATAAAGTGGATGGAGTATATGTGATTACAGATAGACTGATTCGTGTTTTCCTGTATGCTACGCTCTATAGCAGCAACATCTTCTTCTGTACGCGCTGTACTACTTGTCTGTGGAGGAATATTATCATTCAGAGTAAACGTGGTGCAAAAACCTTGCATGGTTAATCGAATTTCTTGCTCTGATAGACTATTATGTTGACTATAAAATGGACGTAATGTGCGATACGTATTTCAAATATAACCACAATTTTCAAAATAAATTTGAACGATTTGGAAGAGTTGTATTCAGGCATCAAGTTTATTCATGCTAAAATGCCAAACCAAACTTAACATAAATCATTTGACAGTTATCAAACGACAGTTAAAAAAGTGTTAATAACTTAAATTTCTATACCTCTAAAAAAAGCCTACTTTGTCTATGAGATGTTCGCGGCAAAAATGTTGAAGCACTCTTCCATTCTGGACCCATCCGTGAACCAGGTGAGCCCCTTTCCACGGATTAGTTCAGGCTCTCGTTCCATCCGCTGATATCGGTCAGGAAATTAAATTAAGAAGGAGGATAAGAACTCAAATTGGGGAGCCATGCTGTCCTGTACAATCGACGGCCTGTCTCCAAATATCACAATGGCTCATCCGCCCATTCATTCCCAACCAGTGCTCAAAGCAGTTGAGACGATAGTCTGCCATCATGGCTTTGTCCTCTGTAATAAGATTTAAAGTCCGCAGAACCGTTAGACTTAAGTCACCTGGGCCTTAGCTACCACCAGTCTAGCCCCGAACCACGACATAATGGCCAAATACGTCAGTATATGCTTTATTGGAGTATTCCTGACGCTGTTACTTCCATGAAAGTTTAGAATCTAGAATCAGTCCTAGAAACTTCACTGACTTCCTAAAATCGATAAAGCTTTACCATAGAAAGTACTTTCGGGTAGGTCCGATGGCCTTTCTCTAAGTGAATGCTACCACAGCAGTCTTCTCAGGAATAACCTCAAGTAACTGCTCCCAGTACCTCCACCACTACAGCAG